GTATGCTCCCAGAAGCAATTGAACTCTATGACTCATTCGTGTTATCTTAAACTCCTTCGCATAACTGAACTTCAAAACTCCTGCAATAAGTTTAACATTCATTAAGTTTTCTTCGTTCTCCTTGTTTATTGTAGTATTTATGAGCGCATTTAACACTCCAGCTAATGTTTCCATCTTATATTCTACATTATTGTGAAATCTTATTTCATGCTTCTTTCCATCTATTTCAAACTCCATGAAATCTGTTTCATCTGTTATGACAAAAGTTGCGATAGTATTGAAGTCAACAACTCTGAAAGCAAGCGCTTCATTCTGAAGACCTAAGTTTGTTTGTAGCTTTACTGTCCCGTATTCGTTTGGGTCTGTACTTTGCAAATAGAACAACATTTTATTCTCATTAAAATATGACTATTGCTGCATATGCGTATGAAACAAATGAAGCAAGAAGAGCACATGAACTAGTAAACGAAAACTCAACTTTAACCATTGAAGGCAATGATTTAGTCATTGACGATGGAAAAACTAAAAAAGTCATTGATTTCGATACTTTTAACACTTATGACCCATTCATTACAACAAGCAAGGTTCCCATCATAAATGATGGAACGGTGCAATATATAAATTCTACAGTAGATGCCTCATTAGTGAAAGTATTAAATGTTCTCATTGAATTGTTAAAGAGCTTTCGATTTGACGACAACATTAAATGCCTAAAGAATTTAGTCATGAATGAGAAACAAATTTCGGCGTTGCTGGTAGCAGTAATGATGTACACCTTATGACATTAGAATATTATAACGAACATAAAGATGAACTGAAAGGAGAGAAGGGTGACACCGGACCACAAGGAATACAAGGACCTCAAGGAATACAAGGAATACAAGGAATACAAGGACCTCAAGGCGAAAACGGTTTGGATGGAAAGGATGGAAAGGATGGAAAAACTGCTAAATCATGGATATGGGACCTTATAAATACTGGTTTAACAGCTGCTTCATATGGAGTTCTTCAATACCAAATCGGAAAGATATGGGCGTACTTGGTGAAGAAGCTTTAATGACGTTAAAAATGCTTTGAACTTCATTTCAAATGGTTCGGATACTATTAAAACTTTATCTGGTTGGATGCAAGAAACAAGGAGTCAAATAGATACTGTAAGACGTATAGCAAACAATGCACGTACGGGATTGGATACTTTACGAAAGCACAAAATACACTAAAGGAAGCAAATGATATTCTTGGCTCAGTATCAGACATGCATGAAGATTGGCTTAAAGGTATTGACAAATCTTTAAAAAATCACAGTCAGTCTATTGCTGACTACAAGAAAAGTATAGATTTTTTACATAGTGCTATGGACGTACATGATGGAAGCATAAGGAACTTACTTAATGCTAACAATAACTTACCAGGAACTATTAAAGCATTTATAAAGTCCTTTGTAAAACCCGGTGCTCTAACATTTAGGTCTTTGAGAGCAAGAGCATTGAAGTCAAGAGATGCAGAAACTCCAACAGAACCTACAGAAGGAACTGAAACAACAGAAACTCCAAAGAACCACCAAAACCAACAGCTAATGAAATATTGTTCGAATATTTTCCAAGGTACTCTGTTCTCATTGCATACATTCAAGAAATACTTAAGAAAGCAGACTTGACTTTAGGAGATGATGAAAGTTCTGTATATCTTTCGTTCCAGTTTCAAATAGCAGAACTTTTGAGACAGATATGCTTAATGTATGACAACATCTCTGATTTCACAAGATATGATGACGACCATGACCCCGAACACGGTGAAGAAGAAGTTTTACAAACATCCATTAAGACAGGAAAGGTTTTAACTCAAAGTCTCATTATTGACACCAAAGATGGCGAAGTGGACGTTCTTCAAGAGCTGAAGAAAAATACTTCTTCGGGAGGTGGTGGTAGGCATGAACTTGAAATAAATGAGATAGAAGAGAAATTAGCCGAAAAAGCAGATAAAGAACATAAACACAATATCTCCGATATAAATGAACTTCAAGCTACATTAAATAGTAAAGCGGACAAAAATGAACTTGACGCAACGAACAAAGTTTTGAAATCTCATAAACACAATATCTCCGATATAAATGAACTTCAAACTTCTTTAGACAATAAAGCAGACAAAAACCATGTTCATTATATAAGTTCTGATGAACAGATTATAACGGACTATCATGGATATTTAACACAGGGTGAAAAAGTGAATACGAAAAATGTTAATGAAAGAAGATATAAATTCATTCGTGCTAAAGGTTATGACATACACTGTACTGTACAGTATGACACAGGTATAGCACCACAATCATTTGGTTATAACGCTGAAATTTATGCTTCATACTTCTTTGTTAACGGTGTATTAGTTGAACCAAGATTTACTTTGAGAGTTAAGTCAAAAATAACTTTTGAAGATGCTATTAAAAGTAAAGCTGACAAAACAGAACTTGACGCAACGAACAAAGTTTTGAAATCTCATAAACACAACATCTCCGATATAAATGAACTTCAAGCTACATTAGACAGTAAAGCCGACAAGAACCATACACATAAATCCTTCACTACTGTTAGAGCAGACGACATAATATTGAACTTTGACCTTGGTTCAAGTGCACCATTAGAGAATCCGAGTACAAGCGTAAAAGATACTCTTAACAGTTTAGATAAGAGTTGCAGGAACATTGAAAGTCATGCCAGAAACTTTGAAGCATATGAACTACCAGCAATGTTAGATAAGAAAGCAGATAAAACTTATGTGGATGCAGAACTAACAAAGAAATTTTCGAAACCAGATACAATGACATTTACAACAGAAATTATAAATGGTGAACCAGCAACTCCATTTGAATTTGTTAGAGGTCTTCAACCAGATACTTTTGAATTTTTCTTGGATAATTCTATTGAACTAACATTACATTATAAAAGTGGAACAAATGCAACATTTCATCCGGGAGATACATTCCAAATGGTATTTAATGACATAAGTTCTTTAGAATATGTTTATAGAGTTATGAGCATATATGATTTAATATATCCTATAGGAGCTGTTTATACGTCTATGAATCCAATAAATCCAAACACTTTATTTGGTGGTAGATGGTATGAAATAGTTGACAGTTTTCCATTCTACACTAATACGCAGTCAATGAAGATGGGAGGTTCAAAGAAAATAGGTATTGAAAACCTTCCTTCACATATGCATAGGTTCAGTGGAAGAACATCTGTGGAAGGAAACCATTCACATTCAATAACAAAAAGAGGTTATACAAATCTTGCAGCGGGTTCGATAGACAGGGAATGAATAGATATGATATCACAATGACCCCAAAGATGTTAGCACAGGTATTTTCTGTGGAACTGCAGGAAATCATACACATGTTGTAGCTGGTATTACAGACCCAGCAGGTAATGGAAAAGATTATATGCCTCCTTATATAACAATGCACGCTTGGATACGAGTTGGTTAAAATCTTTAACTTTACATAAATGAGCTTGAAAGAAGTATTCGAACAACATCCATGGAGGTCATTTAAGAAGTTCAATGAAGCTGCAAAGAGTTCGGGATTTACTAACAGAGCTGAAGTGAAAAGGTTCTTTGACAAAAATGTTGTACATCAAACAAAAATAAACCCTTACGACTACTTTTTACCAATTTACTCCAACACTCCTGACGCATACCAATTTGACACTCTCATTCAAAGCAGAAAAGGAGGACATAAACCATTCCTCATCTTCATAATGTTAACACTCGTAAAGCATATGCATATCCAATGAAAAATAAAGGAACTCATGAAGTGTTAAGAGTTTTACAAAAGTTTGTAGCAGAACATACCCAAGTACTTTAACATCAGACCAAGACGGTGCATACCTCAGCAATGAAATCACAGAATTTCTCATTAAGCATAACATAACTCACTACACTACTGAAGACCATAACCATAACATACTCGGCATCATTAACCGCTTCATAAGGACTCTCAGAGATTTAAATCAAGAGCGAGACTTTACCGAAGAAACAATGAAACATTTCATCGAAGTTTACAATTCCTCAACACATTCTACAACAGGACATACACCAAATTCAATGACACAACAACAAGAAGAAAAGTATATACAAAAGAAACGAAGCCAAACACAAAATATCAGAAATTCAACACAATTTACCCTCATTCCTGGTACAAAAGTTCGTGTAGTTCTTGACGACAAACCGTTGACAAAGAAACGTTTAAGGTTAAGTCGAAATTATTATATCGTAGACTCTACGCAAGGTAATGGATATCTTATAAAAGCTGCTGACGACTCCATAGCATTTTACCCTCGTCATAAATTAGTCGAAAGTAGTAATGGCAAACTTGCTGAAACCATTGACGAAGCAAAGCGAGGAGTGGTTATTGAAATACTTGACTACAACATAAACGATGACACTTATAAAGTAAGATATGAAGGAGGCGTTGAAGATGTTATACCATCTAAGAACTTGAGAGAATCTAAACCAACTCATCTGGGACCATTAGAGCGGGAGTACTGGAAAGATAAAAACATGCCAGAAAGAATAAGAAAATTCTTCTAAACTTTTTCGTTGGATGTAAATCAGACATGAACGAGAACAGTCATGGAATTATTAATGGTACCATTTATTTTTGTCATAAATTTACACCAAAAATATAATTTAGGTGAAGAGGTGAGATGTCACCCGTTTTTTCACCTGTTTTCTCACCTCAGCCGCTAAGCGGCGAGACCCAAAGGGTCTTGAATTTGTCATGATTTCATCGTAAATGCTTTGTCATAACTTCTTCGTAAATGCTTTGTCATGATTTCATCGTAAATGCTTTGTCATAACTTCTTCGTAAATGCTTTGTCATAACTTCTTCGTAAATGCTTTGTCATAACTTCTTCGTAAATGAGTGTAAATGACCAAAAATATAATTTAGGTGAAGAGGTGAGATATCACCTGTTTTTTCACCTCTTTTCTCACCTCTTTTTTCACAAGCGTTTCACATGAATTGTACGATGTATATTTGAAATTCTAAACAATTTCGTAGCTTCTATTTCTTCTGTCAGTACATCGAATGTTTTAACAATGCCGAAAGTTTCTTTATACTTCTTCTTGACGTCAGATAGAAGGAAATCTTCTGCTGTTGGATAATTTTTATTAAGAAATTCTAACATGTTCATTTTATCTTCTGCTGGCTTTTCTGCTTCTTTCTTTAAGTCTGCATAGTCGTTTCGCATTCTTTCTATCTCTTTGACGGAGTAGTTATATTTCCTCATTGCTGCTTTACATTTTGAACATTGTGGGTTCATTTTTGCGTTATATTCTGAAACCTTACCTGCTAGAACAACTAAAGCGTCAATGGTTTTCTTCATCTCAAACATAGCGGGTCTTATTTGTTCGTTCCATACTTTGCCTCTTCTATCTTTATCTCTTATTTCCCAAACACATTTTGCAACTAATGAAACAAAGTTATCGTAAGTCTTAAACTCCCCAGATTTATATATGTCAGAAATGTTTTTATATACCATGTCGCAATCTTTGTCCATAACCTTATGGTTGCAATGAAAACCAAGGAATTCATAATTTACCTTTCGTATGAACTTCTTTATTTCTACTGAATCAGTTGGTTTCACTTCAATTTCGTCGAATTCAGGAATGGTTAGTTTTTGTTGTTGGATTTCAGGTAGTTTAGGCAAATGGTCAATAATGTCCTGCATTTCATAAAGATATTGTTCATTTGTTTCATCTTTCGCACTACAGTCTAAATTACTTGTTAAAAGTTCTTGCTTTATCTTCTGGATTTCTGTTTCGAAAGTATATGAAGAAGGAATGAAGCTTTTCATTTCTACCAACATTGACGTAGGATTCATAACTAACGAGTTTGGTGCTGTAGTGGACAGAGTCCCGCCGTTCGCGGCTTGAATTGTTGTTGTGCCGATTGTTGAAATCATATCTTTACATACAAAATAAAAAAAATAAATAAAATAAAACTAACTTTATTTTTTCTATCTTAAGGAAATTCATGAAAATTCACGAGAAAGCTAAAGCAATCTGAGCCGCTATGCGGCTGAGGTGAGAAAAGAGGTGAAAAAACAGGTGATATCTCACCTCTTCACCTAAATTATATTTTTGGTCAAAGCTTCCACGAGAGAAAAGATTCCTCATTTGCTAAGGATTCCAAAAATGAAAAAATCGTTGATTTCGGCTGAGAAAAAACGGCAAAAACCCTTCTTCCACGGGAACAAAGAAATAAAGAAGAAATAAAGTAAATTTTTTATTTATTCCCGTGGAAGATAGAGCACTTTTATGACACTTTTTATTCACGACAAACAAGACAAATAAAGAAAATAAGAAAATACGGCGCTGTCGCGGTTCGAACCACAGACCCTGACCCCTCCATAACACCACCTTAGACCACTGTGCTACGTAGCCTGTCGACATAAGATTTTATAAATTGCATATTTGACGTAAATTTATTTCCATCTGGCTTCCCACTGCATAAGATATTCATACGTGTTTGTAAGACATTCATTAAACTTCTTTTCTATTGCATCTAATCTTGCGTTATTTTTTTCAATAACTTGTCTGTATTCTTCATCATCTCCAGCAGTGTTTGGGTCTTCACGTTTAAAATATTCATTGTTAACCAATTTTTTATCTACAAATTTTATTAGTGTTTGATTCACTTCGTTATGATAACGGTCATATTCTTTCAATACGTAAGTGAAGACAAAATGCGTCGTACCTTCAATCTTAAAGCTTAAAGAACTTTCAACACAGTTTTGAGGGTCTGTCAGTGCGTCAATGAGATAGTATTCGAAGTCAGTCAATAATCTTTTTAAAGTCATTTCATACAGGATAAAATTTAATGTTGTGAAGAAATAGTGTTTAACAAAAAATAAAGTTAGTTTTATTTTTATTTATTTTTTTATCCGGAATGTAAAGACAGATATGTCAACATTAGAGAACACAACAACTGCTATCGTTCATGAAGCCATAAATGAAGAATACGAATACATACAGTATAACAAACAATTGAGACTCATTCGTTCAGTCAAAGACGACATGTACCAAATGCAAAGTATTTTGACGGCTTGTTTTGCTCCAGATACTAAGCTTCCTAAAGACTGGTTTAGGAACCAAAGCACCATAGAACTATTAAGTGAAGCACAGCGAGACGTACTTTTTTCTGAAAACAGTGAAGAACAGCGAGTAGGTAAAAAATCCCAGTCGCCAAAACTCTATGAAAACCGTGAAAAATTGCCAAACGGTTTGAGAGGATATTATGTTCATAGACTTTTAGTAAATGCAGTTGCAATGTGGGCTTCACCACGTTATGCTTGGAATATTTACAAACTTCTTGACGAACTTCACAGACAAGAACGTGGAGAGATGGAAAAGAAACTTCAAGCAAAAGATGAAGTCATTGAATCCAAAGACAAAAGCATACAGAAAAGAATACCACGTTCAGTACCAAAAGGAAAGGAAAAGAGTTATAAGTATATGATATATACTGAAGAGTTGGAGAATGAAGAAGACAGAGATATGGTTATGTTGCATTTAGTCAGAAGAAACAACAAAAGCTTTTACGACCTTGCTAAGATTTACAAATCTGACAGAAACTGGTTCTATCGTGAAAACTTACCGATTTCAATGACACCGAATGAGCAAATAAAAGAAATTGTCAAAAATACTCTTCCTCAAACACACTATGACATCAAAGGTTGCACAATACTTACCTTCAAAGAAGACTTACCATTACTGAAGGAAAAAATAACAGAATATTTCGATAACTTCAAAGAGGAAGAATGAAGTCACGACAACATTAACGATGAAGTCACGACAACATTAACGAAGAGAGAATGAGGTGAAAAAACGGGTGATATCTCACCTCTTCACCAAAAATATATTTTTGGTTAAATAGCTTCAGGGTCAATTTCTTCAACCATTTCACTTCCTTCGTCAATGTCAATAGAAGCTTCTTCAACCTTTGGTAAGAACTTTTGTATAACATCTTTGTTCGTTATTGTCTTCAGAGATGAAGGATAATATTTCACATTTATTTCACCCTTCTTATATTCTTTCTGTTCGGAAAGATTTAAAGCAATACTGAAGAAGTCAACGTTAGAGTTCTTTATGACAGTATATGTGTATCTTTGACATTCACGAAGAAACCCTTTTGTTTCAAAACTACTGCTAACTCTTGTGAAGTATAACGTTTGCGGTCAATGACGATAGCTAATGGTCTGACATACTGACCAAACTTAGATTCTTTCACAAACTTCTTGTTAAAGATAACATTAACGTTTGCAGAACCATTGAACTCATTCTTGATGGCAGTAGCGAGAGCATTGTATGAAAAGAACTTGCAATCTTGCATGTGTTTCATTAAAATAAAAATATTAAATTATTTTGAAAAATAACTTAAAAAAATGTAATCTAATTTTTCAAAAAATATTTTTTATCCGATAGAAAAGATGACAGAAAAATTAACTTTTTACATAGCGCCAGACCCTTCTTGCCCACATCTTTTTAAGCCACAATATATAGTCATAGAACTAAATAGAGAAAGCGAAATTCTACAAATAGAAGAAAGCGAAATTCTACAAACAAAGAAAAACATATAGAGACCTAGATAACGAAACTGGATATGCACTATTCTGGTTAGATTGTCCTTATGAAATGTATGAAAAAAAGGCTTTATATGAAGAATATAGAAAATATTGTCATGAAAACAATATAAGACCAAGCTCTAGAGAAAAATTCTATGCTGGTATAAAACATCTTTTCGAAGTTCGGAATGGCAAATATAGAAAGAAATAATTTTTCTAAGTTTATTTTTTCAAAAAATATTTTTTTATTTCCTACTAAAGATGTATCGGAAGTTGTCTAAGTTAGAACACTCGGAAATAAAACAACTTCTTACAGAAGCTAATATAGATGTTGCAAAGCATTACGCAACAAACAAAAAAGCACTCGCTGACATCCTCAATGACTATAATGGTGCAATAAGTTATGATAGAATTCATGAGTTCATAAAGCCGCAACGCGGCGAGGACGAAGTCCATGCAAGAGCATTTCCTTTAAATGACATTGCTATTGACTTATATCATAGACGTTCAGTACCTCATGAAGTAAGAAGAGAAATGTTTGACATAACAAATGCAAACGTTGGTGAAACAAGAAGAGCTGTACCACATGAAGTAAGAAGAGAAATGTTTGACATAACAAATGCAAACGTTGGTGAAACACGAAAGAGAGATGACACACTGAAACAACAGAGAAGAGAGATGTTTAAAAGTGCTATAGAACAAGTTCGCAAAGCTAACGATGTCATTCGTTCCATTGACGACAAACCAAAAGAAGGTGAGAGATGGTTAAAGAAAGATGAAGAGAATAGGAAGAGAAATGTGAAGTCAGGCAATAGACTCATTGACTTTAACATCGAAGCTTTAGATGAACCAAACAGAGACTACTTACACAAACATTTCGGTAAGGTTTTCATGAGACTCTTAGAGAAAATTAAAATAAACTCCAACAGAGATGGATGGTATGTTATAAACTTGGTGGAAAGTATGAATGTTCTACGTTAAACCTCAATAATATTGGAACATTACTACATCAGCTCTTGAAGGAGAACTTTATATCAGAGATAGAAGCAAATGCTGCAGGTATTGTTGAAATGCACTATGACTTCTTCTTGACAAACATAAAGAATCTTACCGAAATAAAGATGTATGATTTAACAGAATATGAAGGCTTAACGATGTCAGATGTAAAGAAAGGCAAACCAAAAAAGAGACCATATAGAGATGAAAGCACACTGACAAATGACCAGAAAGCCATTTTGGAAGCTCTTAAGCAAACAGGAAACCCAGCACTTATAGAAAGCTTTTGGAAAGATAATGGTGAAAAGAAGTTTTATAAGAAGAGAAGCGGTCAGTTCTGGAAGTATCTTTGCACATTACCTATAAATCTTGAACGCTACCAAATCTTCAATGAACTGAACAAAAGAACTGCAACACTTATGACAGAGGACAATTGTTTCGTTTATGCTTGCATTCAGGCTGGAGTAAATGAAGAAACTATTGACCACATGAGAGAAGTCATTCGTGTTAGAGACTTTCCTCAAAGTAAAGTACAAGAAATTTCTGACGCAACAGGTATAGCATTTAATGTTACCATTGGTTATTTCAATGACTCAAGACATAATGAAATAAAGAGATATATACCAAAAGAATGCGAAACTGTTAGAACTATTGACTTACTTCTTGTTGAAGACCACTACATGCTAAATGAAAGATTACCAATGACAACATACTTCATTCGAAACTATAAAGAAATTCTCAAAGCTTGTGGTGGAATGAACATTGAGAAACAGATGAAGATTTATACAAAGAGAGAAGATAAATATGTAGTTCGTTATGATAGAACAACACCGTTATGATGTTATGAAAACATTGTGGGAGTGCAAATATTTCGAACCTATTTCTTATGGAGAACTTTTCACATATACTACTGACTTATATAAACAGAACCTTGCACCATTTAAAGATTTGACATATGCTCCAAAGTATTGTGTACAACTGAAGAAGAAAGCAGAGTCAAAAGAAGTAAATAAAGCTAAATGTAAATTCATACCTGAGCACGTTTTCTTTGCTGACTTTGAGTGTAGTACGGATGGCTTTCATAAAGCTTTTAACATCTGTTATGACAGTGAAGATGGTTCAGTGAGTGAAAGCATTTGGGGTCAAAACTGTGCAACAGAATTTTTGGAAAGACTTCCTGACAAGAGTTTAATATATTTTCACAACCTCAGTTATGACATAAACTTCATCTTAAGACACATGACAGAAGTGAAAGGAACTCCCATCATTAAAGGTTCACGAACAATGCAAATAACTGGCTTATATAAAGGACGGGCAATTATTATAAAAGACTCTTACAGTGTTATAAATAAGAAGCTTAAACTATTTCCTGCTATGTTTAACTTACAAACAGGACCGAAAGAAGTATTTCCATATAACTACTACAGCAGTGTTTTGTTAGCAAATGACAACAGAACTGGTGTCATTTCTGAAGCATGTAAGTTTATCCATGATGCAGATACATTTATGAAGAACATAGATTCCATCAAAGGTTGCAGAATAGATGAAAACCACTTCGACTTAGAAAAATATAGCACGTTTTACTGCAAACAAGATGTAAGAATTTTAAGAGAAGGTTTTGTAAAGTTCCGCAATGACTTATTGAAAGAGTTTGATTTAAACGTTTATGACTACGTTAGTATTTGTTCTATTGCTAACAAATTGTTTGAGAACAGAGTATACTTCCCGAATGGAAATCTTTATGACCTCTCAAATAAACCAAGAGAATTTATTTCGAGATGCATTCAAGGTGGAAGATGTATGTTGTCAGATAACATGAAACAAAAGAGCAAAAAGAAACTCATTGCTGACTTCGACACTGTTTCATTATATCCTTCAGCTATAGCAAGATTGTATACTTTAGAAGGAATTCCAAAAGTATTGAAGGATGAGATGCTAAGCACAGAGTATCTCATGAGACATTTATTCGATGATGACCAAAAGGAACCCATTGGTGAAAAGTTTATGTCTGGCTTCTTTGTTCTCATTAAGATAACAGAGATTGGTATACCGCAGACACTTTCATTTAATAGTTTGCGACCCTGAACTAAATCCAGAACTTAACGTTCCAAGAAGTTCAAACACTTGCTGTCTCATGTATGTTGACCATATAACATTACAAGACCTCATAAAATATCAAGGTGTCAAATGTGAAGTGTTGCAAGGATACTATTACGATGGAAACAGAGATATGAGAATAAGAGATGAAGTAAAGAAGTTGTTTGAGTTAAGGTTAAAGTATAAGAAAGAAGGAAACCCCTTACAAGAAATTATATAAACTCATTCTGAACAGCATTTATGGCAAAACTATTCTATCTCCTATTGAGTCAAAAATAACCATAGTAAATGACAAAGATGCTATAAGATATGCTATAAGAAATTACAACCATATAGTGAAGTTCGAAGGTTTGGATGGTTCAGATAAAACTATTTTCAAGCTAACGAAAAGCATTTGCAGACACTTTAACTTCTGTCCACTTGGTGTTAATATTCTGTCTATGTCAAAACGTATTATGAATGAAGTATTCTGTACTGCTGAAGATATGGGACTTCAAATATTTTACCAGGATACCGACAGTATGCACTTATATAATGAAGACATACCAAAGCTTGCAGCAGAGTTTAAGAAGAGATATGGTCGCGAACTTATAGGAAAGAAACCTTGGTCAATTTCATAGCGACTTTGCAGAAATAACACCTGGAAAACAAAGTTTAGCTTATAAAAGTATTTTCTGTGGAAAGAAGACTACATAGACTTACTCACTAACGATTTAAATGAAGTTGCATTTCACTGCAGAATGAAAGGCGTGAAGCAAGATGTTATTGCTTTAACCGCTAATGAAATGTTTCCTGAAGCTATACAATGCTATTACAATGAAGATAAGAACATTCACATACCTGTTGGAACATATGACAAAGACTCTGAGTTCAGTTTAATGAAACTTTACAAAGCACTTTATGATGGTCAAGAGATTGCATTCGACTTATGTAAGTCATGTCAACCTTGCTTTGCTGAAAAGTTCAACTTTTCAATAACGACTAAAAACAAGCTTTATTCGTAAGTTGAAGTTCTGAGGTCATGGGCTTCGCCCTTGCCGCTAGCGGCTTATTTTTGTCAGCAATGAGGTCATGAATGAGGTCATGAATGAGGTCATTCGTGATAAAAATAAAGCTAGCGTAGATTTTACAATACTGCGATGGTAGAGTTTAAGAGTTGTGCTTCAATGTAGAGACAGTCCTTATGGTCTGGAGGCAAGAACACTGGACATTTATGGTCATGAGTGGAGAACATGTCTATCCAAAACTCACGATTGAAGCCAGTTAATTTATAGTATTTAGGGTTAGGAAGTGGTGAAGTTCTTGTATGACCAATGAACTCATTTTCAACTCCCTTACTTAAGTTTGAATATAATATAGCTTGCTTTCTATCCCAAATGCCAGGTGTTACAATCTTTGAAATTCATTTTCCTCGGAAGCATTGCATCATAATTGAAAACATTCTTAAAATCATCACTTGGTTCAGAGATTTGAAACCTTATACGTAATGGATTTTTTTTCCTTTAGCGACTTCATTGAATGGTGAGAATACAATGAATTGACAGTCATGAGTTCCATCTTCATTTTCATTAAATTCATAATGAAAGTCTATAAGTTGTGGCTGACTACCTTCTTCTTTCAGTTGTGCAAGAAACTCACGTAAAGGCTGTAAAGTTTGTACTTCAATGTTGAACTTTCTTCGAACATCTCATTAAATGAAATCATACATTGCAACAATGTTGTATCGTCTTTAAAGTATTTGTATATGTGAATGTTTTGGGCGCTTAAAGACTGTTCGTCATTTTCTATCTCGACTTGAAGTATAAAGTCAACCTTTCTGAAAGCATGTGTTATATACATAGATGTTATGCCAATGTACTTCTCTTCATTTATGTTCACAATCCAGTCTGTTGGAAACTTAAACGTTACTCTGTTCCCCTTTATTTTGACGTCAGGGTTTTCACTACTGAACGCAACAGATAAAGGTATTTGTCTATACATTTAATTCGGATAAAAATAAACCATTTACTCTTTCTTTGCTTCAGCTTCTTTAGCTTTTGCTTCAGCTTCTTCTCTAGCTTTCTTTGCCAGCAAACGTGGGTTCTTTTGTCTTCCAGCAGCTAATGCAGCAAGTTGTTTTTCACTAAGTTTTCTCTTTGGTCTCTCTGGCTTTTGTTCTTGTTTTTGTTCCTTCAGTTCGGATAAAATTTGCTCACGAATTTCTTTCTTCAATGCTTCAACATCTATGACCCCTTGGGTCTTGTCCGTAGGGCTTGTTTGAGTCATTTGACTGTAGATAAAAACTAAATTAAAACTTTAACCGATGTAAAATGAGCTTGTCAAAATCAGAACGAGAGTCTATTATATTAAATGACGCCAGAGGAATACAACATCCTTTCTATTATGTAAGTCAGAGTAAAGATGGTAAAATATATGTAAGAAAAAGAAAGGTTCCATTAGCGAATACAGAGACAACATTAAGGTGCATGGCAAGGGCGAAGCCCACGAAGCCCATATAAAACCTTCTGTTCAAACTGAAAGTCAATAGAACAAGAAGAAAAGAAGCCAGATGTTCTTTCAATAACGAACCAAGAGCTTATTGCAAAGTTCGTGAATTTCATTGAAAAGCAAACCGAGTCAAAGAACCCTGACCCGCCAGTGAAAGAAGTTGAGACAAAAGAGAATGTACAGTTCATTGAAAATGTCAAGAAACAACTTCCACCACGAATGCCAAGAAGAGAGTGAGAAAATGAAGTAAATAGATATTTTTATCTGAAGTAAATACATGCAGAACGAACAGCTAAACGAATTTACTCCAGCAGAGCATATTCATCAGATTCGCTCATATTTCGATATCATAGACAATGCAGTTCAAATTGGTGACACTAATAGAAAATATTCTGACGCAAAGATTCCATCACAACCTGGAACTGCTAAAGATAACACATGGGTAACATTCAATCTCTCACCTCCTGGTGAAAATATGTTGGACCTTTACAATACATTCATTACGTATAAAATGGAAGGTCAATTTATTGTAGATAAAGAAATTGGTTCAGGTTCCAATAAAACAAACCACCAGGATTTTGGATTGGTTTCGATGACGCTTTCTATGCAGTTGCTGGATATCAAATCCTTGCAAATGGTCGTATCGTATATTCTCAAGACAACGCAAGAGAAGAAGCATATATAACTTCAAACTCACAAACTACCGAACAAATAAAGAAAGTAGATGTTTTCTCAAAGACTCGACATGAAGATGTATGGAGTCATTCGGAACATGCAGAACAGGACAAATTGTTAGTGGTCCAATTACAGCAGGAAAATCATTTGATTTTAAGCTTCGTTTAAGAATTCCTGTTAGAAGATTCCTTCCATTAGAAGCTATTCGATTTATTCCAGCTTTTGCAGGAAACATTCAGCTTAAAGTAAAGTTCAGTAGCGACGCCTTACAATGCACATCTATATCTGTAAATGATATCATTGCTTTCAATCCAACTCTTAAAGTTGCATTTGCTTCAGATTCAAATCCACCGACAAATAAATTTGTTCCATGGAATGAACCATTCACCATGATAACGAAGGCAGTAGAAGCTAGTGGAACAGTTACTATTACAACTGTAACCCAGCAACTATTTCGAACAAAGATGGATTTTAATGAATGTTTCATTCATCCAAAATCATTCTCTTTAGACCCTAACATTTATACAGAACTTGTAGAACATTATACAAACGAGGCTTTATGTTTTCCTGTTAAAGTTATGGATTGGATTCCTATGGACGGTTCATTCTCAAAGAATACAGATAGTTCAAGTGCAACATTTACAGCAGCTTATACGCCTATTAATGTTAAAAGTATTTGGGCACTATTTAGAAAGAAAGACAACTATTATGTTAATTTTGAGAACCCTAAGTTTAAATATCTTCAGCTTTCCATGGGAGCTTATGGAAATATGCCTGCAGAACCTGAAAAATCATATGGACCTGTATTTTATGAAATGGTTGCGAACGCTTGCAATACAAACAATGATATGATAGGATTTAATGAAGATGTTATGAGGTCATTGGTGGATGATGGTAGTGTGGAACATAAATGGGATAGCTATGACAACACACATTTCTTATGTGGTTTTCCAACAGAAGTGGACTTTTGCTTCCAGCAAGGTCAAACATCTACTGCTCCAATAACATACAAATTGTCTGTTAAAGGACCTATTGAACTAGCAACTGAAAACGTACCAAAGCCACTTATTGGATTTATGAGGGATTGTTGCTTTGCCATTCAGGTGCGTGCTAATGGAATCCCAATAATAAGATTAGATGACTATAACTTAGCTACGGACGACAGTGAGGAATAAAGGATGAACGTTTATTTTTAAAGCTTATAAATGAGTTCTTCATCAAGCTCTCGTGAACCTTCACCATCTGTGAAACAAACTTTACCAAACGATTATGGAGCACCTATTGAATATTTCTTACGAGCTGCACAATGGCAAAGAGCAGTCTCACCAAGGTTAGGTGTTCCACCAGCTCCTGTCAAAAATAGCATTTGGTCAAGTCCTTATATAAGATATGGTCTCCCACTAGGTTTGCTAGCTACAGCAGGAGCAGTTATGATGTTGAAAAGAAATAAAGCAAATGTTGTAAATAATACTGAAGTAGCTGAAGTTAAACAAACTCCGACACCATCACAAACAACACCTTCAATGACTCCTGAACCTATGAAAGTACAAACTCCTGTTCAAAAGTCAACTCCTAAACCGACTCCAACATTTAAACCAGAACCTACTCCTCAAATAAATCGTAAAACTCCTGTGTTTCCTTACTGAAAAAATAACGTTATTTTTATTTAATATTAAAATTTTTATTTGATTGAAATGACGACTAAAGTCACTGAAGCAATGAAACAAAAGTTTTTGGTAGAATACATTAAATCAGGAGCGGTTCCAGAAGGTTTTTACGTTCATACTATGAAGGATGGTAGAGTTCAGTTTAGAAAGATAAAGCAACCATTAGATAGAGAAGGTATATTAAGGAAGATTAAACTTCATGAGGACAACATTGCTGAACTTAAGAAGAAGTTAGAAGAGTTGGAGAAAGGAAGAGAGTTATAAAGCAATGAATTCAAGTGGGTGAAAAAACAGGTGAGAAAACAGGTGATATCTCACCACTTCACCTAAATTTATTTTTGTGCTATGTTTTCATACGTGTGAGGGTGGTGATATCATTAATTTTTTATTTTATTTTTAAGTTTACTGAAAATTTTTATTTGGATGTAAATGACGAAAACTATTGAGATAACAAACTACAACGGTCATGAGTTCAAGAATTTGTTCTTCGTTCCTCGTGAAAATACATTCTATCAGATACGAGGGAGAAAGGGTAAAGTTAGTTTGAGCGTTTATGAAGGAATGAAGAATGGAAAGTTTATACAAGCATACGATACAAACGGTAAGCGTGTTTCATTAGCTTTGTCAAAACTTACTAACATTCATTTTGACAGTGATTTTGACCTATATGAAGAAGAAAGTGAGTCAGAAGAATATGAACTGTTATGTGAAGCACAGCAATGGGAGGAGTTGCAATACTTTTGTAAGTGAGAACGTTTATTTTTACAGTAGTAAGGTGAAGTGGTTGGCGGCTTTATAAATATTTAAGGTTAAGTTGGTGTTTGTGTTTGTGTTGTAAAATATACGTTAACGGTTTTGTAAAGTGTCAAATTCACAAGTATTGCGTACGGAGGAACGCAGTGCCTCAGTACACGAGACTTGTATACTAACTAGTATGTATAATATTTCTTGTAAATTCAGGAACATGTTCCGGAAATTCTGTATTCCAGTAAGTTCTGTCTTGGTGATCATCGTTGTCTTCTTCTATTTCCTTTGTTTTTCTTCCAATATTCTTATTCAACAGACTTCTGCGCATTTCAGCCTTTATTGCGTCTAAGTCTTCTAGGTAGGCTTTATACATATGCATTTTTCCGGTTCCTGGATACGGGAATACCTGAACATCAGTTTCAAATGATCTTTTGTAAATTTGTTTTCGAATATCTTGATTAAATTTAACTAAAAACGTTTCTCGGTCTCCTTTTATTTCAATTTCAAGTTCTTCAATCTTCTTATAGAAATATATATTCTTTTGATTGTATATGCATTTCTGTTTTGGAAATAACTTTCAGATTAAACTTGTTAAGCCCATTCATAGATAATTTGCACGAAAACAGTTCTGAACAACTTAGAAAATGGTCTTTGTCTAACTACCAGAAATAATTTATTGATAGAAATGTCTTTTAAAAAAGAAAATTTCATATTAGGCATCCGTAAAGGTTTTTGTTTGAATGGTGGGGGTTAAGGAGTGTAATAGTCAAGATATTAGATAACTAAGTGTATGAAGTTGTCATCTATGTTGATAACAGCGGAAAATTAAAAATAATTATTAAATCATAACTTTTTGTCTCATGAAAACCATTAAAAAAGTATAAAACTAAAGGTTTTTGCATGTGAACTATAGAAAGCTTTAGATTCATAAAAACTAGATTTTTTTTTTGATATTTTGATTTTTGAGGTATACTTTTAAAAGTGGATTTAAAGCACTGATGAAAAAAATTAACTTCTGTCGTTATGATTATTGATTTAGACAATAATGATTTTAATCTTTGATTATCAAAACACTAAAGTCATCTTTTTAACATTTGCTTGGTAGCATTAACTCAAGTCTAAAGTACTATTTTATGTGGCACTCTTAGAATTTTTGTATTCATTGTACACGCTGAAATAGTACCATTAAAGATATGACGAACTTTACAAAAAACAGTTAGGATACTATAAATCTAACTGCCAATTTATACACTTTCGGCTAAGGAGAAACATAATAAATTTGACGCTTTTCTTAGCAAGGAAGCCATATTTTTGATTTGATATCATTTTTTAATACAAATTTATATGTGTTAATGCGGGGGTAAACGATAAGCGCAATTACTTTTAGCAAACATACTTTGAAAACCAATATGCTATAATTTTATATTATAATTTGAATAAAAATTGTAAATTGTTAGTTCTTGATGCAGCATTCAAAGATAATAACAAGATAGAACGATTTTCAAAAAGGAATGTTTGATTTTATCATTGAATTAAAATAAAATTCTAATAGTAATATATATGTCTGTGTTATAATGAAATTGATGGTATACGTTAGCACCAAATTACATATGCTAGTAAATACAAGCCACATAAATAACATTTTAGTATGTCTGCAACCTTTTTTTTTGAATCATGAGTAAGTAAGAATATTTTTGTAACAAAATGATATCATGTATCGAAAGAACATACTTTATTGTTGTATCCTCTACTTTTCCAAAGATTATTGTATCTCAAATCTTAATTCTTTAGATGGTAAACAAAAACATTCATGCAAGAGACATTCCAAGGAGCATATTACACTGTAGAATCTTGAAAAAGTTGGAACTAATTAATTCACTCCAGAGGAGCAATGTTGTATGCATTCAATTTTAAAAAAAAAAAAAACTATATATTATCGAACTTAATACTTTGGGTTTTCATATCTATATACTTCTTCCAATGAACTAATTTCCAAACAAAGCTCTTGAAAAATCTTTAAATATAAGATGACTTTTGCTTATATTTTTTGATTTCTCGATAGCAATGCTAGGATATTACAATATTTCCATGTATTTTACTAGGTTGTAACTAGTTGGCATAAGAGTACATATATAGAATCGCTCCGACTATATAATATAATGTTTATTTAATATTACTGTTTATTTTACAGCTAAAGCTTAAACTTATAGTGTATTTATTTTTTAACTGTCTGAATAATGGCAGATTATTTTAATATTTAACATTGATATTGAAATATGAAATAATGCATTTTTCCTTTTTAGCTAGAACACTTGTTTGGGCAATATTTTTCTTTTTTAAACACCAAAATCACATATTTCTCTTATATATATCTATTTTTAAATTATTTTGTTGATATTTTGACAATTTGAGTTAAATATCGATTTAATTCTATTTTTATGGGTAAAATATATATGTATATATCATATTTCATTATTGGTTTGTTAATGCAATTCAATTCTTGGATCCTTGAGTTTTCATTTGAAAGTTCAACTACAAATAAACCTTTCACTGAATATAGGTACTAAAATTTCATTCTAGAATAGCCATTCTTATGGTTTTATCAATATAAAACAACATTATATTTTTATATATTCTACTTGCTAATTACTTTTCTAGTTTCAAGATAAAGTTACTTAATCTCCGATAAGATGCATGAGATGTGAATTGGAGATATCGAGCATGCATATTTCCGAATATACTACTATATTATGTACTATTGTGGAAAGAAATTAAACTTTGTAAACTGAATGAATTTCATATAATGGTTGTCTGGCAGCTATGATTTCTCTTTTCGTATTTATTTTTCCCGAAAATCATTCAAGAATTAGGGGGCATTAACAACAATGATAAAAATGGCATTTTTCTTAATTTTTTTTGGAAAAAAATACATTTCATATTTATTTGTTCTTAATATAAATTAATAATATTAATTTACCTTACAAATGAGTTATGTAAAGTATTCAAATTTTAACTACAATTTTTATGCAGTCGAGCAACAGCAGATGCGCTTTTGCTTGATTTTTATTATCACCAGTGCCGTCTATAGTAAATAGTTTATAAATAGAACAACTGCACTCTTAATTATCACCAAAATAAATCAAAGATTTTAAAAATTGATTGTAATTATAGTTAGATTAACCATCATCACTTGCAAACTGAACTAATTTACTACTTCTCCAATTAACACTCATGAACAATGTTTTTTTAAAAAAATATAATTTTTTATTCTAAATTTTACATTAACATGTCATTTATTATGATCTCATAAAACATATCCATATATTATAGTTACAGTAATATTAAAATTTCAAATTTTGAATTAATTTGGTTATATTATGACCATTAAGCCAAGATCCCAACTTCTCTATGCTATCTATGAATTTCAACTCTATATGTAACTAACACGTTATAAGTTTTGTTTATAAATATAAGGTGCATTTCAGTAAATTACTCTTTTATAATAGTTCTTTTATTACAGCTATAAAATCTATACTAAATCTATATGTTTTTATACTAAATTTATTAATTGTAATACTAATTTTAATTGTTGCTGATCATATGCTAAATTTTATATGAAATCCTTAATTAGAAACTTGAGTTGAATATATATTATATGAAACAATCGGTGTTTAAAACAAAATACAGCTTGATTTATATAGTAATTTATGCTTTACATGTATTTTATATAAATTTTTATTGAATTCAACTATTCAATAGTTTTTTATGCTAGATTAGTTGTATTTATTTAAATATATTATATTGGCAACCTTTCTTTACCCTGTCCTAATAAACGCATTTTGTAAAAAAATATAGTGCATCAGTTTCGAACTAGCGTCCCCGGTACCCAATAGTAAGGGGTAATAACCATTCGACCATTTGCCACGTAAAGCATCGCCAGATTTTTTTGTATTTAATCACTCCCAAAACACTGTTTTGGCTTATTGGAAGCATATCAGACATAATCGCCATAATCAAAAAATCTATATACCCAATAAGTAATAAATTTGTCGATATAGATTTTCCATAAAATTAGTTTTTAGTCTAATCTTAAAATAAATTTAATTTTTTATAAAAAAAATCAAATTTAAAAGTATCTTTTTAGTAGCTCGAAATCCTGTTGGTGGATTTCGGGCGTACTTCAAAATTAGCTTTTCTTCTACATATGCAAGCTATATTTTAAATATGGGGCAAATCGGATCGGCGAAAGGAGTTTAGTTACCTTTTATGAAAATTGAAAGCAATTCAAAAAAATTGCTAACATGTAAATTTTAATATCCTATGCATAATTTCATATTTTGAACATTTTTAATTTTTGTTTAAAACTTAAAATTTTGCGAATTTAATATAATTTATAAAATATAATACGTATATATATTTAAAATACACTAAATTTAATTGTTAATTGACGTTTTTGGGAATGAATTTTATCAAAACATGCCTGAATCCGAAAATTTGAAAGAACGAATTACACAATCATATATGTAGAATTCAAAATACAAACTTAAAGATTGTATACGTTTAAAATTATTCAGATTGTGTTTGATTTCCACTCATTCTGTTTCTTTTGAACTATAACACTAACATTTCATGATGATTACATGATCCATTTATACATGGTTGAATTGTTCCAGATTCTACCAGAAAATCAATCCAAATTTCTCAATGCATTCATGTTGATTGGACAAAATTTAAAATTTATCAGCCTGTTTCCAGAGAAACTCATATATTCCCTAATGAAATGTAATTTTTGCTACATTTATTTCAATCAAATTTCAAAAAATTGACTGCAGAGCTTGAAAAGGTGATGAATCATGTTGTTATTAGATGTACATATTAGATTTACTATTTCCAAAAAAATGCTCAAATTTGAATAGTTTTTAGAAAATTTGGAATTACACTCCTTACATTATATATAATTAAATGTTTAAATTTTATTTATTTTTCCCTTTTAATTTTATAACGTGCTCTATCAAAACTAACCTCTCAATTGAAGGCCACAAAATCTAAGTAGTGAGGGTACACAAATTTTGTATGGAGTACGGTTCAATTTTTGAGAGCCTCACTACTTAGATTTTGTGACTACCTTAGTTATTTCATATATCTTTGTAAGTCTAGATTCTGTAAATTGTGAATATGGGTATTTCATTTTTGTATCTGATAAGTGTGCAATTTTGATTTTTCTTTTGATACCATGAATTTTGATTTCAATCTTTTCGATTTTTTGAATAAATTGTACGTAATGCATTAATATTCTGAAGATTTAGTCAATAAGAAGTTCAAAATATGGTAGATTTATAGAAAGTTCTTCTGAATATGGAAAAGATTAAAATGAATGAAGTTGGAATTTATGTATGAATATCAAAAACATAATTGTCGTGCAAAATGTTAAGAATATTAGGTAATAGAATCTTCCTCGAAAAATATTTTTTTTGATTCATTAGTAGATGTAAGGAATTTCAATTTTCATTGTCACTTTTTTGAAAATTTGATTTATCAATTTTATGAGTGAAAGTGAGAGTGAGAGTGAAAACGAATCTGAATTTATTGATCCAGATGAAGCATTCAAAATTCATGGATCCACATGGTACGAAGTTAGTCAAAAACATTGGTCACAACAAGATCATAACGTTTCCGGCATGCTTGGTGGATATCCAGAGATGAATGTCATCGACATCCTTTCTAGTCGCGAATTGATCAAGAGTCTTGTTAAGAAAGGTATGGGCAAGACCAGAGCTGCAGACATTGCAGGAGGTATTGGTCGTGTTTCGAAAAATGTTCTTTCACAAACATTTGAATATATTGATTTAGTTGAATACATTCCAAGCTTTGTTGAAAGTGCTAAACAAGAACTCGAATCTATTGTTAAATTCCGAGGAATCGCAATTGGTGCACAAGATTGGATTCCAGATACTAAATATGATTTAATTTGGTGTCAGTGGGCTATCATGTATCTTATGGATGATGATTGCATTAACTTCTTAATTCGCTGTAAATCGAGTCTTAATGAGCATGGTTTCATTGTTGTCAAAGATAACATTGCAAACAAAAGCAAAAGTCTTCCTAAAGATCGTGCACAATATCGTGAACTTGATAATCAAATTAATCGCACATATAAGCACTACCTCGAATTGTTTTCTAAATCAGGACTTAAACTAATTGAATCCATTCCTCAAAAGAAATGGGAACCAGAACTTTTACCTGTTTATACTTTTGTTCTTCAATAAATTAATTATAAAAATTTTATATTATATCATGAATGAAATAAATTGCATTTTTATCAATATATTATTCATAACTCTATATTCTGTTAAAACTAATAGTTGAGTCAATTATTTTATCATGACGTAAACTTATGCTCTTCCTAATTGGATTCGAAATCGTAATCGTTGATATATTGAAAACAGATTGAATTTGGTTTTTGGAAAAGATAAAATAAACTCAGTGTCGTAAAGGAATGCTTTGTTATCTGAATATTATGGTAAATAAATAACTCGATGCTCAATAAATTTTAAATATCATATGTTTTTTTTAGAATTTCATGGTTATTTTATTGAAAGTATAAGTACAAAAAATGAAATTGAAATAATATTATATCTTTGTTTATATTGAATATTTTGTTTGATTACTGATTCTTGATGTTGAGGATTGAAAGGAGTTAAACAATTATTAGTTGAAAAATATGAAAATAAATGATAGGAAGTAATGGAATCAATATTGAATTTATCTGTGAGAGAATTATAAGTATATGTTAAATAATCAATATGACAATTTTCTATTCGTAATGAATTAGCATTATTATAAATCAATGGTCCATTTCCAAAATTTCCAAAAATTGAACAATTAGAAATAGTCATTTTTCTAGTACAACAAATGATACCATAACTTGTACTTGATTGTGAATTATTTAGAATATTACTATTAATAAGATAATGTGTTGGTGAATCATTACTATAATGCATAAGAACACCAATATAGCAATGATTTTGACAAATTGAACAAAAATTGACTTTTCCAATTGAATTTTCTGGTGATATTCCATATGCAGCTCCTTTTTCATTGACATTGTTATTACTAATATTTGAATAACTAATATTAATAATACCACAACTACATGAAATAGTATCAATTCCTTCTTCTTTTTTTCCACATGATGAAACACAACTTTCAAGAAAATAATTAAAATTCCCATCGGATAAAGATGAACGTGAATGTTGTCCATAATTTGATGCTTGTGAATATAATGAACAACATCGATGTTGAATAATTGAATTTTGACCTTTCACGTAAACAGAACCTCCTTGACTCCTTTTACAGACATTGAATGAACATTCGGAATGTAATAATTTGATATTATTCGTTGTGAATGAAATAGCACCTTCTTCAAGGTCATGAAAAAAACTAAGTAAAACAAAACATTCGGAATTAGAAACTGAAATTGAACAGTTAATACATGTTGTTGGATTTGTTTTGTTATTTTCACCATATAATTCATACCAGATGTTTTTTGGAATATTTTCAAAATGATGAAAGTGATAATCTCTCCGAAGAGAGAAAATCACTGAAACGTGACATTAAAAAATTCCAACACTTTTTTATTTGTTTATCACAAAACACGATTATATGCAGAATTCCGAACCATTATGCATCCTATTGCCTATGTAGTTTATGCAATCTCAAAATATATATGGGCATTCACGTCATCCAACTTCAGAAAACAATGAAATCATTTTATAGGGTAGTTTAAATTTCAATATCATAATTGCACTGATTATTTATATTCACTCCTTTGTTAACTAACTGCATTATTCTAAAAGTTTTGTTAAAAGTTTACTGTATGTTTGATTTTCAATCAAAAGCCTATCATATATACTAAAACATTGGGCTGCATAATTTATATGATAAATGTGTTTCATTTTAATGATGTTTGAAATAGTTCAATATTGAGCAAAATGGCAATTATTGACATATCCCTACCAAATAATGTAATATTATTGATGAGTGCTCTTAATTGCTGTTACAGAGAAATTGAATGAGTCTTTTAAGGCTCCAGTCCCACGCTCTCAATTTTTAAAATTGAACATATCCATAAATAAGAGTTATCATGACTTATAATTAAAGTTATAATATTTGTGTAATATGAGCTATAATATTATATTATGATACTTGGCGTAGTATTGCAAGAAAACTCTAATTGATGGATATATTCACTTTTAAAAATTGAGAGGGTGGGACTGGAGCCTTAACTGGCTAACTTTATTGTGAAAACACGAAATATTACAAATTTTCGTGATTTAGATTGATAAATCACCAGTGAAGTATTTTACATCATGGCAATTAACTATCTAGTGCATTGATTTTATCCAGATATTATTTCTTGCCACAAATTTCAAAACAAATTTACTTTTAATTATGACATTGAACGATTTTGACATAACACCTTTCACGATCATTCAAAATTCTTATATTTTCAATGGATAATGTTCGGTTAGTTTCAAGAATCAATGAACTTTGACAGCAAATTATTTTATTTTATGGAGAAGTTGAAGTTGTCAATCCGAAATAATAATTGCAAATTAATGCCAAAAGAGATACGAAATCAATTCAATAAGTTCTTAGATGATGACGATAAAAACCATCAAAAATGAAAAGTTAAGGAGAAAAACGATGGAAAATGAGAAAATTAATTCATATAGTTCCTACCATATACATGTAATCAGAAACTGAAAATGGATTTTTTTTCGAATTGACATGATGATTTTAAAAAATTTTTGAGAGCCATCCAAAAATAATATTTAATTGGATATCAATAATAATTATATAATACGTTCGATAAAATATTTGAGAGGAATCAAAATTGAATAGCTATTGTCGGTTAGAACGACGAAAAACTGTTTGATTTCACTTTATAATGTCTGGTTCCGGAATCATTGTCAAGCCATTCCGCGGCTACATCCCACCCGCTGAAAAGATGAGCGATGTTATTGCCCCACCATACGATGTTGTCACACGTGAAGAAGCCTCCAAGATGGGACAAGAGCGTCCACAGTGCGTTATCCACATTAACCGCCCAGAAATCGCCTTCCCAGGTGTTAAGGAGACAGAGGACTGCGTCTACCAGAAGGGCGCTGAACTCCTCCAGAAATGGATCAATGATCAGCTTCTTATCCGCCACGACAAGCCAGGATTCTACGCATATCGTTCCAAGCTTGGCGGCTATTCACAGGTTGGTCTCTATTCTCTTTTCTCTTGCCAGCAGTACTACGATGGCCTCATTAAGAAGCACGAGCAGACACGTAAGGCTCCAGAAGAGGACCGCACAAAGACAGTCAGAATCCAGAACGCCAACGTCGGCTCTGTCTTCCTTGCCTATCGTGGTGCCAGACACCAAGAACTTCGTGATTACGTCAAGAAGCTCGTTGAGGGCCCAGCTGACCGTGTTGCCCACCTCGACTTCGATAACACAGACCACGAGCTCTGGTTCATCGATGACGAAGAGAAGGTTAAGAAGATCCAAGAATTATTCTCACAAGTTCCACACGTTTACATCGCCGATGGCCACCACCGTGCTGCTTCTGCTTGCAACGTCTGGAAGGAGCGCAAGGAAGCCGCTGGAGACTCATACACAGGAAATGAGCCATACTGCTACTTTATGGCCTGCGTTTTCTCCGATGATGAGCTCTGCGTTATTGACTACAACCGTGTCATCAAGCAGAACCCATACACACAGGAGGAACTCTTCCAGAAGTTAGAAGAGAAGGGATTCAAGCTTACACCAATGGAAGGAAACGAGAAACCAGAGACACCAGACTTCCTTCCAATGCACCACGCTCGTCCAATGCAGCACAAGGTCTTCTCCCTCTTCATCCATGGAAAGTGGTATCGCATGGAATTCACAGGCAAGGCTCTCTCAGAGTCTGCTGCTGATAACATCGATTCCAAGATCCTTACAGACTTCTGCCTCACACCAATCTTCAACATTACAGACCTCCGTAACGATCCAAGAATCAAGTTCATCGGAGGAACACGTGGTCTCCAGGCTCTCGAAGAGGCTTGCAAGACAGAGGATTCCCTCGCAATCGCTGTTCCACCAGTCGAAATGTGCCAGCTCTTCGACGTTTCTGACGAAGGCGCAATGATGCCACCAAAGTCTACTTGGTTTGTCCCGAAGCTCGCTGATGCCATGGTCATCCGCGTAATTGAGGGAGATGAATAAATAAGTATTTTACGTTTCTTAAAAAAATATTATGAATCATTTTTTATAAAAGATTGTAATGGATTTAGACTATGTAGATACTCGATGACTAATAGATGAAGAATGGAAGAAAACTGGAATATATAAAATTGTTTATTTCATATCAGATAAAAATATTTAACAAAAATGTCTCTGGCAAGTCATTACCCAACAACTGCAGATCTACTGCATAGTGTTCATTTAATATATTTGTAAATCCATTAGATTCTTCTATTTTGATCGAGGAATTAAAATAATTTCAAATTTAAGAATGCTCGTTAGTTTGTATTTTATGAGTCTTTCTTCTACCTGTCATAAAACAAATCCATATTCCAATTATTTATATGAATGCGATTTTAAGCGCTTTCTATAATATCATCAATCAAATTGGAATTAGCTCATGTATCAATCTCATGTTTCGATAGTTTATGAGTCCACTATTGAAGATTTATTCATTTTATTCCAAATGATTATATCTTTAAGAATTGATAAAAATGAAGCATGATTCATTAGAATGTAGATTATATATTAAATAAGTGTTGTTTATTATAACAAATATTAATATCTAGATAAAAATACAAAATTTCTTGTAATATTCGACCAATTGTAGATGTTTCAGTCTTGTTACGTGAGATCTAACATTATTGACTCTTTCTTTTTGATTAGCAAAGAGATAAAGTTATTTTGTTTTTTGGTTATCGTGATCTGATTGAGGTGGTGGATTTTTAAATGCATAGTTATTGATTTGATTTGAGCTAATTGATGATGGTGTGTAATTGAAACCAGTTGGTGTGATTTTATTATTATAATGAGGAGGCAATGGTTGAAAGTAGGATGGAATTGGTATTTCAGGTATTTCTTCTGCTCTGCCTCTTTCTATTGTACCTTTCAGAAGTTCAAATTCATTATTGGAAAATCTTGGTAATGTACGAGTAACAATTTGGTTTCTCTGTACAATTGGTTTGCTATTTTTGATTTCTTCTGTATAATGATGTAATGTTGATGTAGAAGGTTGAGTTCTGGGTGTTATTGTTTTAACAGCAGGTCTTGGTTTGAAAATAGCATCAATACAATCATTATAAAGAATTGTGAGTGCTCCAGACAATGCTAAAATTAGTATAAGTATTGCAAGAACGAGTAAAAATAAAATCATAGAAAAATTACTATCCCCCTTATAAAATAATTTGTCCCCCTAATTCTTCAAATCAACACAAGAAATGAATGTGCACATACACTGTTTATATTATGAGACTATCGACCAAACTTATCCAACTTAAAAGCTATCTAATTTTCAAATTTTACCCTTTCTTTCCATAGAAATATCAATCTTGATACAAAATATTTTGATTTGAAATATGTTTTGCATAGTGGTGGCCAATGGGACACCAAATTCTAATAGACAAGTGTGAAGTGGGACTAGTTTTTATGAATAAAAATTAGTTTAATTTTTAATGCATGATTTGAAATGAATTGATTAAAACCATAATTTTTATGCGTGTCTACTTTTTAAGTGAAACCTTTGTAAGGAAAATTCCTATAAATTAGAAAAATTATTTGCACAAAATACATAAAAATGTTTAAAAGATTATTCATACAATATTATTCAACAAAATCAAAAACCATACTATATTAGAAAAATCATTAATCTAAGAATCTTCTTGGAATTTTGCTCAATCTACTTGGAAAAGCGTATTCTTGAGCAGCTTTTGCACGTAAATTCGAAGCTTTCTGAGGATTATAGAGGAAGTTCCTCTTCTTTTCAACAACTTCTTGTTCTCTTGGTGTCTGAATTTCGTTTTCTTTGTAAGGACGAGGAGTTTTCTCTGTTTGTCTGATATTTCCTGCAGCAATAGCTCTCTTCTGTGCAGTCATTGGTCTCAAGTCTGTATTCTTCCTTGTAGCGTCGAATGGAGCGAAGTTTTCTTTTCCGATTGTTGTAATTTTCGGTTCTGTCCACTCAAATTGATGGTCGTTTATAAATCCTGCGTTTGTAAAGGCTGTTCTGAACAGCTCTCTTAACATCGTGTAGTTTGGTGACTCTGTAAAACCGAGATTTCGGACGTATTTCATGTAAGTAACGAATTCTGGAGGAAGATTAGCACAGAGCTGGCGAATTGGAGTATCTTCCTTGCAATCTGCAATAAGTTTGTATTTCTCTTCGCGAGAATGAGCATTGATGCCCATCCATGGTAATTTGCCTTTCAAAAGATATATCCAAACATATCCTAAGGCTTCGAGGTCATCACGACGTGATTGTTCATGTCCACGTAATGCTCCAATTGATGCATAGCGTGCTGTGCCTGTGAGACTCTTGCCTTCGATGTATCTGATATGTTCATGAGTAATATCGTCACGATAGCGTTTGGAAAGTCCAAAGTCAATAGAATAGACTTTAACAGCATTCTTTCCTGTTCCAACCATGAAGTTATCTGGCTTGATATCACGGTGGATGTAATTTTTACTGTGAATATACTGAATTGCTGAAAGCATTTGATCTGCAAGTACTAAAACTGTCTTTAATGAAAGTTTTTGTCCATTCTTCTGGAATAGATCTTCAAGAGAAGAGCCTAATAAGTCCATAACCATGATATTATGATTCTTTTCGCATCCAGTCCAATGAATATTAGGTATATGAGATCCACCTGCAAATTTTTTGTATAATTTAGCTTCGTAATGTAGCTGTGGCGCTGGACAATCGAGAGATTCGAATTTTGCGGCATAATACTCATGAGTTAGAGTGTGTTCTACGAGATATATTTTGCCAAACGATCCAGCGCCAAGTTTCCGTTTGATATGATAATATGTTCCTACTGTTCTATCCATGAATTTCTGTTTTGAAATTTACACTCAAGAAAAAAAAATTCTTAACGTAATTCTTCTCAATTTTTACGATGATTAAAATTATATTGCTTGTTATTTTGGAGATGAATGTATTCCATTTAGTGTCACTTTTTGGCTGCATGACATCCCTTCAGAAATCAAGACCAAATGTAAATAAAAGTTTGGTCTCCATCCGTCATGAGTTTCTGAATTTCAAAGTCAAATTATTTTTTTCATTTCTTATGAATGAAAAAAATCTGAAGATCTGTGAAGATATCCTAAGAGATTTTCTTCGTCTACCTGCATCTAAGCTTATTTGGGACAATAAAGTTAATTGTTTTGGCGAAACACTTGATATTCGCACCACTTTATCCGATATTTCATTAAAGGTTCAGAGAAATGAATACACTTCAGTTTCAGAGTTCATGGAAGAAACAACTGAAGTCATTACAACTGCAAGATCAAAGAAAAATAAAGTTCCCATTGTTGTTGCTTTATGTGACGATATGATTAAAGAACTGAACAAAATTTATGTTTATTACGCTGACATTACTGCAAAAAGAAAAGAGCATGAAGAAAAAATCCGTTCATTGTATGAAGAATGGTATAAACATAAATCTCCAGAAAGTGAAGGCGATCAAAGCGTGAAACCACAAAAAGTAACGTTTGGATCTCATATGCTTAACAAAGACCCGGCAACATTCACAGCCCATGATTTTACAGTTCTGATAAACATTATCAAAGTTCCAGACATCATTACAAGAATTGCCGCCTTTATCTACTTTATACAGCCAGAAGCAATTTCTTTGACTGACTCCATTTCAATCCACACTTCTCTCCTCAAAGAAGAAAACATCCCAAAGATTGCTGAATACGCACAAGTGTTACTGAAAGAAGCTGCTATCAGAGATATGGTTTGATTAAGAATATATTTAATTTGTAAGTCTAAATTTTTGATCATTAATATTAAAATTTTTATGAGCCATAAATATATAGTCGTTATGCCTTTCATCGATGTAAGTAAAATAAAATGATTTTTAAATGTTATGTTCAAAATATAAAATATCAAAATTTTATTGATTACTAATAATGTTTGCAAATGTAATTACAAGATTCTTATTGACTTGATTAAACAATATGGTAATAATCTGAAACTTAATTGCAAAATTAAAATTCAGAGAAAAAAAAAAGACTATATACCCTTAAATTGAAGAAATTGGACTAAAATGTTCTTAGATATATTGTTGCTTAGATTTACAAGTTTGAAATCACTGTAAAACATAATTCAATACAACATAGTTTAAAGTCAAGCAATGCTTGGTGATCTAATTTAAATGTGGAAATAGTTGTTAAAGTTTTTTCACTAAATCACCAATATTGAATTAATTGATTACGTAATCTATGATTAATTGTAAAAATTAGATTTAAAATGTTGTAGTTGTTCATCCATGGGCCTATCCATAACAATATATTTTTCCGATTTTTCATTTCACGAGAGTAAATCTGATAAAATTATGAAAAATATTATTTGAAAATATTGTTGTAAAATTATGGAAAATAAAAATTTCTGATAAAAATATCCATAAATCGAACAAATAAATAATACACTCAAATGCATATTAAATGTAATATCTAACAATATCAATATTGGCCGGAAATATTTACTTGCCACTAAATTAAAACGGTTTGATCAATAGCATTTTTTCATTTATGAAAAATGCAATTCTATACAATTGTAGTACATAATGTCAAACTTTTTTATAACTTGATTGTTTCTTTTAAATTTTTCAATTATACTCTCAAAATAAAATTATTGGGTAAATGTTTATGTACTCATAATATTTATTAATCTTCCCAATAAAATAATGTATAATCGTAAACTATTCAAAAAAATAGAGACAGAAGGGATGCAGGAATTTTCGGTCTCAGATCGACGTATTCCTATTCCTGATCTCGATGACTTTGATAATAACGAACTACACTCACTTTATGGTGTACATGACAATGCACAAACTATCATCCAAATGTCAGAAAGAGGTGATTTCGTCACTATCTCACCACAGTTCCTGAATAAATGGATATCTGGAGACGTTACAATGCCATATGACCAGCTCGTAATCATTGACGCTAGATTTGATTATGAATTCCAAGGAGGTCATATCTCCGGGGCAATCAACGTGAATAACTCCAAAATGATGATGCACATATTTAAAAGATTTGAAGGTAAGAACGCTGCATTTGTCTTTCATTGCGAATTCTCACATGACAGAGCTCCGAACTTAATGAACAAATTTCGGATATACGACCGTAGCCAGCACATCTACCCCAATTTAACACATAAGCATCTATTCCTACTTTCAGGCGGCTATTCCAAATTTTTCGAACTATACAAAGATAAGACCACAGGATCGTATTTACCAATGCGTGATGAAAATCACGTGGCAAATGGCGATCTAAAACGATCTTACTCAAAATATAATTCAGACAATACAGAACAAAGAAGAAATCTTATACATCGCTTTCATTCTACTGATTCTATTGGAATTTCTAGCTTTACTGCCAGAAATTCCAGTTCACCGATCCTTTTCAGCGATACAAAGTATCCAGCATCTCAAGATTTGAGTTTAGTTTTATAAGGTGAAAATACAGATCATTTTTTTAAAACTTGAATGAATGAATATGTTTTAGCGGAAAAGATACTTATTTTTCGATATGTAGTTATTTGTCAAATAATTCCATGCCCCACTAACTATTGAAAGAATTACCTCATTCGACCATCAATTTATTTCAAATTGAATGACACATTCAAATTTGACAATTTTATGAATTTTTATAACGAGTAATAATGATATTGTTGTAAACAGAAATTCATCAAAAGTGACACCTCAGAAAAGCTAAAATATTGAATTTTTGGAACTTTTGATAGAGCACGTTTTTAAATATTAATTAAAGTAAATGTATATTTTGTAAAGATTCTTTTTAATAAAAAAATAAAATTTTGAAGAAGAACACAAAATCTTCTGAAAAATAATATCACATAAACTCATATTATTTTCTAATATATAACTATTTTATATAAAAATCAAATTCAATGATCTTAAAAGCGAAGGATAAACCTCAAAATTTACGAATATAATGAGTGGGAATATAATGCTTATCTATCATAAAACCATATGAAATATCAATTTTTGCTTTACGCCTAATTTTTGACGACAATTAGCAAAAAATGTTAAATGTTAACACTCAGTCCATTTGAATATGAAAAATAAAATTGACTTTGATTAAATGTTTTTATTTATCATGCAATTCTTCTTGCGACCAAAGATTTGAATAAAACTTCAAAAAATAAGATAGCTTAAAAAATAATATACGGTAGTGTTTACTAATAGATGAATAGTATATAAATTCTATTAAAATGGATTTGATCCAAAAAAATATATAAAATTTGATCATAAATAAAATCGTTTTAAATTACTTCTTCATTTAAATTATAACAATTATTTTTGATTTTTATTTATCATCCACATTCAAATTTGAATCTTATCACAAAAGAAGGACCACTTTTATGACTACTGCCAAATCTATAAGCAGAGAATGGCTATTTGAAGCTAAAAGAAGAATAGAAGAAGGTGAATCTTACAAAAGTGTGGGAAAGGAAGTTGAATTGGAAAATGGTAAAATTAAATTGAATGTTGCCGAAAATACAATAAGAAGAGCATTTCAACTTCAAGAAATCGAATTACCAAATTATTATTTAACACAAAAATATATATATAAAATTATGATCATAAATATAAAATTATTTAACACATACATTCAACAAATCAACTAGAATTATCCCATTTTGTTAATGATTCAAAAATAACAAATTGGAATGAAATCATTGATCGTCGGAATCATATCAAGACATATCCAGGAAAGTACAGCATTACCTTTTATCTCTGCACTTAGATAATGGCCTGAATTTATTCCCTGAAAAATGATAAAAAAAAAGATATCGATAAAACATGTTCCTATCAATTTCATGTAGTGTGCATATATCTTTAAAAATACATGCTTCAGTCAATTCAATTGAAAGATCCTACCATTTGCACATTTGCATTTCAATATTACATCAAAACAGATAAATAATGCGCCTGCTATCCTATAAATATAGTTATTCATGTTATTGCAGCATTTAACTTAGCTTCAAAAGCTTACAAAGCTACATAATTAATTAATCGAATTAATTTTGCTCTCCAATTTTGCAAAAATTAAGTTGAAATACACCAACAATCTTAGATATGAACCATCAAGTCTTGATCAAGTATTCAAATCTTGCAGAACTCGACAACATTCATGATCCTGAGTTTGATTTTTCTATTTTTCCTCTTATCAATCATATCAAAGATCAAATATTGGAATTTAAGCGAAAAGTGAATAATATTCCAAAATCATTGACGAAACATACAATTTTTTTCTTAATTGATTTACAAATGCCATTCTAATTCTAAAAGTTTCTTCCTAATATTATTGCACAAACATACTTACGTCTATCATTTCATCTTTTGCACCTCAAACTTCCAGATTTCCCTTCTTTCACTAGAATTTCACATAGACTAAAGCACAGATTTGTCATATAATTTTGTTTTTAAAGAATAGCCCTAATTTTGCAACTCGAAAGAAGTATATCTTCTCTAAGGACTTGCTAATGGAATGCAATGCACTACCTATTGTCAATTCAACAAAAAATCGGAACTTCTTTGTTGCATTATATCATTCCACAACAAATATTCAAGTATTTGTTCAGATCATATTCCCATATTTTCTCCTCAATTGAACAGTGATCTTGAATCTAGTTACATTTCATTTTCACGAAAAGATAGTAAATCACACTGATCTCCATCAGTCAAGATCACAAAAATCACCAAATTCGATATCGAACATAAGTAAATCACATTGTGTCCTCAAAACAGAGGTGACATTTCTAACATTTCAACAACAAGTTTGTTTGCCAACAACGAGGACATTCTTAACAAATATTAAGGCTTCTCTCCGACCAAACGGTCTGTATCGTCTTTCATATCATATTTCTTTACTTCGAGGCGATACAACTTGAATTGTTTTAAATGCTCATATGTAGGGCATTATTACTTCATAGTATGAAGTCCGGAAATGCTGTTTTTGATCAATCTTGAGTTGAATAATCTAAAATTTTATCACAAACATTGTATTTGGATAGTATTTTATGCAAACAATCAGTATGTTAAACATATTTCTTAGTTTATTTTGTAATCTAGATGTCTATTAATGCTAAATAAATTTGATTAAAAAATGTGAGCTAAAAAACAAAGCATTATCATTAACTATAATGCTACAAACCAATGTTAAACATTTTATTAAATCATAATAGAATAATTTTTTATTTGATAATATTACATAAATGATAAGTGATATCCTTCAAGAAAATATATTTTCCATTGGAAATGCTGAAATGAATCCAAGATATCGAGTCGTCCATCAATAATCTAAATTATGAAGATTATAAAACGAAAATCTCTTGAATGACCATTGAGGTCTATATGACTATGTTATTCAAAACATTTACAATTGCTTTTTTGCAATTATGATAAAGGATTGATATCAATGATTTTATTTTCCTAAAAAAATTAAAAAAAAGAAAAATGGAACATGCTTATTCAATAACTATAGACTATGATTATTATAACAAAATTTGAAAAAAGTCACTTCACCACCCTTCGGAGACCTCGTACAAAATCGAAAAAATTTGGATAAAAATGTACTTTTTCGACCCAAAATTAGTGAACTTGAGAGATGAGAGTAAGGCAATTGATGAACATATGGATAGTAGAATCGTTTTATCGAAAGTTGAGAAAAGGCAATCTAGACGGAAAATGCGGAATAATTTCAAATTCTTTGGAATTTAAATATTTTTATGAAATTGCCTGCGATATATAATCTCTGAAGATCATATAATGTTATCATATAAGTAATGTCCCATGAAACTGACTGCATAAGGAGCTTGGTACATTAAGATCGAGGAAAAATTGAGAGGATCAGTTCACATCGGAGAGAAGCCTTAAGGACATATTCAATACCAGAAAGTTAAAGCTCAGCATTCAAAAACTAACTATTTTGAACGAAGTTTCTTCTCCAACCGAATTTACAGATTTTTCTTCAAAACCACAACTGTTATCTGTTTAAAATCAAGTTTATTTTATAATCAGAAATATATTTGCTAAAATATGAGTTGGATCAATTATGTTGTGGTAGTAAAAATTTGGGAAAAAACGAGAAACACATAATTTTTTGATTTTATTTTCTGCTTCACAAAGTCTTGTAGAAAGATGTGATAATTCGTTGTAGTAATTGTTTGTTGGATTTTGTACTTTTACATTATATGTTGTTTGTCCATCATAATCACTATTAATGATTGTAGCTAAACTTGGTGATGATTGTAAATAAAATGTTTGTGTACAATTATTATTTTTGATTGAACAAAAATCAAATGTAACTTTTGCTTGCCATAATTGAAAACATCTACTAGCATTGTTTCTAATGATATTGCATAAATAAAATTGATGTGGACCACTCTGACAAATACCAAAACAGTCAGTTTTTGCTTTGTTATCAATGAAAGATGATTGACTGATGTTGTATTTCTGTTCTGATCCAATATCAAGTGAAACATCATCTTTACATTTGTTATTTGTTATGTTATTTCGTGAATAACTATGATTTCCGATTCGTAGAAAATTAATTGAATAACCTTTATCTATAGGGTGTCCAAAGGTGTGTTTAGCACAAACCTGAATACTGCGAATAGAAATAAACAAGTTACATATATATAAAGTTTATTTAAATATAATCACCATTGGATTCAATCACGCGTTCGCAGCGATCGATCCAGGCTTGAAAGACACGCTTTAAATCATCATGAGAAAATTGCTCAAATTGCTCTCTTACAAAATTTTCAAGATCATCTGGACTCGCGAATTCGCGTCCTTCAGCTCTCTTTTTTAGCGTGCCGAATAAATAAAAGTCAGAGGGTGCAATATCAGGTGAATAAATTGGGTTTGGAACAACTTTGACATTGTTTTCCACCAAGTAATTCATTACCTTATGACTTTTGTGAACTCTTGAATTATCAAAATGAATTGCAAACTTTTGTTTTTGTTGTTTGGATTTCTCAAACTCATCAGAATTGATAATTTGAGTAAGAACATTGTCAATTAGATACTGAGCATTCATCGTATTAGGTTTTTGAAGAATATCAATTGCGATGATGCCATTCACGCCCCAAAAAACCGACAACATCGTCATTGGTGTGTCAATTTTTTTCTTCGGGAATGTTTGCGGATTTTCATCCTTCGGGATCCACATGATTTTGGCTTCTGTTGCATATTGAAACCAAGACTCGTCCCCTGTTACTAAAAAGCGAAACTTCTTGGATTGATACACACCCAATATAGAGAGGAGCTCTTTCGAAGATTGGACTCTAGATTTTTTTTGAACTGAATTAAGGTTGTGCGGAACCCAACGTGTATACGCTAGTTTGTAGTTCAAATAATTGTGCAGATAATAACTGACTGTTGTACGTGGTATCTTTGTCATCTCCTCTATCCTTCTGAGTGAT